CATAGATCAAGCTTGCAAATTTTTTAAAAAATTAAAAATTATTTGATATTTCATTTCATTAATTCAAATCAACATATAAATTATTTTTATCATTATCTGTTAATTTGAATTAATGAAACGAAGTATCAAACATCTTTCAATTTTTAAAAAAATTTGCAGACACAATCTATTCAAATTTAACGGCTGGATTGTAAAAATTTGATACAAAACATGAGTTATTAAGTGGAATAAATCTAAGTAGACATACTCTTTGAGTAAGTGAATCACTCATCATATTATATATATATATATATATATGATTGATTTATTGTATTTTATTAATAACTATACTTTTATAAACTAAAATTAGGTGAATGGTGACTAGTAATTTTTATTATTTTTAATATTATTGTGATGTATAATGTAATTTTAAAAAAATATTTAGTTACTTTTATATTTTTTTATTTTATTTTCAAACAAAATTTAATTTATAATATTTTTTAATTTTCAGAATGAGGTAACATCTTATAAGTATTTAAATAATGATACATCCAAACACTTTAAAATTATATAAATATTTGCTAACATATATATTCAAATGTAACAACTAATTAAATTTTAAACACTTAAAACATCAATTCTTATTATATAAGAGTTTATTAAATAAAATATTAAATAATTCATTTGTCCAAACAAACCTTATATCTTATATCTTGTGGAAACCTTTCTAAATTATTTGATAAGAAAATGCCAAATTATCATGATAGCTAAAGCTTTTAACAGGTGGCACAATGTGCTTTACATATCGATGAGTTCAAATTCAAATTATTTCTACAGTCAATATCGGCCAAAATAAAATAGATTTACTATGAGAAAGTAGGAATTTCGTTTCTTCCTTCTCAACTTGTTTACTTTTCTTCTCCTCTTTCACATCTTCAATTTATGGATAGCCATGAAGAATCAAGTAGTGTAAATTGTGTAAAGTGTATATAGTCAAACGGATATACTAGATAGTCACATCAAATATTTATAAAATTACACCTTTAATCAATAATTTTTTTTTTATAAAAAAGAAAATTTATCAATCTACATATTAGATCATAAAATTTCATTTTAATGAACATGAATAACAAATTTCATTGACCTAAATGTTACAAGTATATAACACTTGTGAATTTTAATTTTGTTAGTGTTAACTTACAAAGTGATTGAAGCCTATAACTAACGCGTGGGTTACGTGGGCTTGGGAGAGGAAAATAATAGATTTGTAGCCACAAACATAAAAGCAATATAGACCATTAATAAAGAATGATACAAAAAACACCTTACAGAGAACTAAACATAATGCAACCTAGAATAACATTAATCTTTGAGAAATTATATAGAGACACAACTCAATAGTACAAACACCTTGTTGAGATTCATGTTTCTTACGTTATATTAGTTATAAGATATTTACACTTGTCTCTTGGTTTATATTTTTAGATGTATTATAGCATGGGAGAGTCTAGAAATAATTATTGTTAGACTTTTATCTGGCGTGCAAAACCGTCATTAGTTAGTCCATAATGTTTGCTGGTGGCAACTTTCACCGACCTTTTAACCTCTAATGTGCGTTTCCAAAATGACTTAGGCGCACACTACACTAGTTGTGGTGTATGGCAGCTTTCTAATCCAGTTTGTTGTTTATATGTTTTCGTTTGATCCTTCGTGATTAAGATAAACCTAATCTTCCAAAGCACACCCTATTCTCTTACCATAACAAAAAGCTTACCCCATCTGAATCCCCACCACCCACCTCATAATAAAGCTTGCATCACAATATGTTACTCTACTAGTATTATTTATTAGTTATACACTGTTAACAAATTTAATAATTTTTAAGATACCAACAAATTTATTATTCATATTTATTTGTAATTAAATAACAGTGTAAAATTATATTTTAAATTATTTTATACTGTGGTGCATAACTTTTTATTTAATTATTTCTCCCAAAATCAAATCACACCCATACGTACATCTGAACCTTACTTTTTTATATTAATATTATGTTTTTGCTACGTGCCCTTAGTTTTCCAAAATCTTTTGCACTAATGGACCCCACGTGTTCAGTTCCCACTCCTTCAAATACCCCTCCCAAACGCTTCCTTTCCTCCCTTTTCCCCTTCTCTCCTCCCTCCGGTTCACTCTTTTCAATTAACCGGTTTTTTCCCTCTCTTATTTCGTTCTTTGCATTTCAACGAACCATGTTGTTCCACGAAGCGGTCCAGTTACCATGCTCTGATCCGGTTCACGAAATCATGCTGACCGAAAGCGAAATAGAAGACCTCTTTTCTCTCATTAACCAAACGAGGGACCCGGTCAGCCCCGGATCCGGTTCACAGGGTTCGAACCGGGCGGTTTACTCGCCAGAGGAAAGAAAGCGGAGACGCATGCAGTCGAACCGGGAATCTGCCCGAAGGTCACGCTACCGAAAGAAGAAGCACGTAGAGAATCTCACGAGCCAACTGAACCGGTTGAGAATCCAAAACCGGGAACTCAAAAACCGGCTTGCCTCCACCATGCACCACCATCTACTACTTTCCCTACATAATGATCATCTTGAATCCGAATCCGTTGCCCTTATGGCCAAACTTTCGGGTCTATGTGCCATTTTAGGCACTATGCTTTCACAATAATAAAAGAGAAGCAATTCGTTACTCATTATAAAACCAAATAGTAACAAAGCATTGAGAATGAGACTATATACTATAATTTATATGTTGAACTTCTCTATGTTACTAGCTATATATAATATTAATTATAGAATAAAGTTCTCTACGTCGATTGCGCACAACCATTGGAAATGCCTGGTTGGTGCTAGCTAGAGACTAGAATGTACTCCTTTATGTTAGTTTTTTGAGGGGTCGAGTTTTTTTTTTTTTTTGGTTAATTACTAGGAGAAGGAAGACATGGTTACGTGGGTGAGAGAAGACCGACGTTGTTGGAAGTACGATGATGTAGGGATTTGAAGGTCTACTCTCTTTTTTTTTTTATCATGTTGTAACCTTTATCCTTTGGGAGCTTTTTTGTAAATTTGTATAACTTTAGTGATCGGTGAAGTAGCAACATTTTAATAAGTGTTGAGGCTCGATGGGCATCTTCATGGAATATGTTAATTTTGTTATGAAGAAAGTCTTAATTTCATATTATGTAAATATGCTGCTAGCTATGGGCAAATCAAGGAATATATAATGCATCATCTTGTTTGCAATTTTTGTATCTTTTTTGACGTAGACTTGACTAAGGAATCGGTCGATTAAGGTTCAAGTGGCTTCGGGGCATGCCTTCTGGCTTTTCTTTGTAAATAACAAAGCAAGTGGCAAAAATTAGTAATTACTGTTGTGAGGTCATACACATGAACGATCACTTTTAAACCATGTGACGAAAACTGCTTTTTGTACAGCGACATGACGTGAGTTAATAAAATAAACAAGAATAATGACTGTTTGACGGGATATTCGTCCAAGTTAGAATGGAAAGAAACTAATAGATCACATGATTGATGTAATGAAAAACAAAATTATTCATTTAATTTGGTCGCATAATGTACCCTCCTCGTATGTTTTTAATCGACCAATTACTAACTAACTTGGTAAGTACGGTAGGTTAGGGATGTTGCTAATCTTCGGTTACTAAATACAACAATAACTATATATCTCATATCTTGAAATCATGTAAAAATAGAAGTTAATTGATCTAACAAGATAGAAAACTGTTCCTTAAATAACGAACCGTGAGAAGAAAAATGGCAAAAGGATAGGGATGGCCTTAGTGTAAAAGGTGTTTAATTACACTATAGAGAGATATACTCATAAAATGTTTCAATGGAACATTAATATGAGCTTAGATGAGAACGACGAATTCGAAACAAAATAAAGATTAGAGCATTGACACAAAAACTTGTTTTACAATTAATCACAAACTTAGATGATGGGAGAGTTTTGATGTTCATGCATATAATTTTTTTAATAGTCCAAATCATCTTCTTTATCATATATAAGATTTTGTTCACTTTATTTAATTTCTTTATATATTTTTAATACTATTATTTAAAATAAAAAATTGATCTTAATACGATCATGAATTATGTTAATACGATTATGAATTATAGGTTGTGAGTAACTCAAATTTTATCTGAATTTAATATGATCACGAATCATACTACAGGTTACAAACGAATCAGATTTTGAATCGATTCTAGTATAATTATGAATTTTTAAAAATGACTCAAAATTTAACCAAATTTAATATTATTATGGATCATTCTACAAACTATGAACAATTTAAAGTTAAAATAACTCCAAATTAAATGTTGCAATTTTTTTAATCCTATTATTACAAACAATATGAATTAAAATGATATAAAAACAATGACTTGGAATGAAAATTTAGTCTATCATGAAGTAGTTGGTCGAAGAATTTTTTTTATTTGATGTTTTATATATATATATATATATATATATATATATATGATATATAGAAGATTATTTTTATATGAGAATGAAATAAGAAAATCAAAGTCAGATAATCAAACATATATGATAAAGATTAAATCTATTATATATTTAGTGAGAGAACCATTTTAGAAAGTTCACATGACTTGTGTGTTTTAATTTAATCGTTTATAATAAAACTTAATAGTTAATGTACATTCTTCTCACTGTCACATAAAAATGTTGCTATCAACACACAAACACATAGGAATGGTTAAAGTTAAGAGTTAATTAGTAGTCACATGACCACCTAAATATGTGTGTTTTTCTTTTAATATTTATCATTCAAATATTTATAATAATATTAAAAGAAAATATATCTTTTTGGTGTCAACTTTTTTAAAGATAATTATATTCCTATTTTATGTTCTATTTTTTTATTAAAAATAAAATAGAAAAAAATGCGCATAAAAAAATTGTTCATTCAATTAATAATATACAATTACCTTTTCTTTTTAATGGATACATGAAGTACATTTTTCTTCTTTTTTCTTTATTTTAGTATATAATAATTTATATTCGGAGTTTTGATTTCTTATAATAAGATGACTTCTCTTTCTTTTTTTTTTTTTTCTGGTAAACGAAGAGGGGTACTCAGTTCATACTTTTCAATTTTTGCATATATATATATATATAAATGAATTACTCACTTATACACTATTAGTATAAAGTTTTTTATACTGACAATTAATTATATCCTTTAATTATATTATGTCACTATAAATACATTTATTTTTATATATATATAAAGAAAAAAGAAAAAAGAAGAAGATAAATGTGCATATATTAGAGTTATGGAGGAGTCTGTACGTTTTCGTCTCAAAGTAATAACCTACGAGCTGCTTTTTTTGTTCAAGTGCAAGGAATGAACTTGGATTTCTGATATGTAGCCCCCATGAAATCCTCAAAGAATCATCGCAGAAAGTTTTTTAAAAAAACAATAAAAAAGATACTCAATTATTCATCCAAAACCAATTCGCCACAAGTGTTATTGTCCGATTAGTGCTTTCTTGTTACTGGTTGACCATGGATGCTCTGTGTTTAGTCCACTTTCTTCACAGGCAAGTTCTTAGAGCTAACCAGAAACTTGTTTTATTTAAAAGTTTAGATAAAAAGGAGGGTTATCTTTTGACCTAATAACGCGGATTAGAAGCACTGACAATGATTTCTAAGATTGTTATAATTTTAGAAAAGCATCATTAAGACAAAATATGTCTTATATGCTTTATGTTAATTGGAAATTTTAAAATATTGATTAAAATAATCAAAATAACTATTTTAAAGTTAGCTAAAAAATGAAGTGCAAAAGTAATCATTTAATTTAACATGAAAATTAACTCATGTCACAAAATAGAAAGAGACATGATTATATGATAAAGAAAAATGAAGAGTGAATTTCATAATATATATTGGTATAAATTACAACTTATAAAGCTTCCTATATTTCTAATGGAAGGCTTTTTCCTATTGGTTACCATGCGTTTAAATTGTCCATACATATACAAAATGTATTAAGTTCCAGTAAGTCATAATCGAAAAAATATGATACACTTTCTGTTTTTCGCGTTCCCAATTTTACACCCCTATACTCGTTCAAAAAATATAAGATTTCTAAAAGCTCAAATAGGACAACTCTCATTCTATTAAACCAGAAATCATATCAGTACCTTGCAAGCACTATTATTATGATTATTTTTTTAATCAAGTTATAGGTGTAACATATCAAATCGATGACTAATTATAACTAGGAAATCTATCTAATTAACCACGTCTTCTCTCTTCTCGGTCACATTCATAAGCTTTAAACACATGAGATTTTATTTAAAAATTTGTACTCACTTGTATTCAAACCAACATCACTGTGGCCATTGGTCATGCACTATTAATTTTATTTATTTATTGATAAAAATCAAACTCAACAATATAAGTACTTATTTAGAACACATTATATGAATTTATAAAAAATAATTATCTAAAAACAGTCAATTGCTAATTTTTTTTAGAAAAACTAAATTATAATTTTAGTCTTTTATCTTTTTTTTTAGACTTATTTTGATCTTTTATTTTTTAAAATATTCATTTTGATCCTTTATCTCTTAAATTTAGGTCAATTTAGTCATTTTAAATTTTTTTAACTTATTCAAAACTTTAAATTTGTCTTATAAAATTCACTTATATAAAAAATTACTAAATATAATTAAAGTTCAAATCAAATATAATATAAATATGATAAAAATCAAAATTAAAAATAATAATTTTATAGTTATTCATAAAATAAAAACAAGGTAAACTAAATAGGCCTAGTTAAAACTCTGGTCCTCTTTTTGGTCCATCATAACTTCGGAATTTATGATACATACACTTTTTTTAAGTATATCTCCATTATTTTTTCAAAAAGTTCTAAAATATATATTTTTTTAATTTTACGTCTCTAATTTTTAATTTTCTAATTTTTTTTTCTACACACCTTTTATTTTCTTTTTTTAGTTTTCATATGTACCATCTTGTCTTTTTTCAATTTCTCACTTATTTCATTATGTGGCTTTAGTTCTATCGATTTTTACATTATTCTCTTATCCTCTCACTTCTTTCACTTTTTCACATGCACCCATATCGTATAACTGATGCGTAATAGCATTATAGATACATGTGACTTCCTCAACAATTTCTATTGAACTATATGTACATTTTTTTTCTTCCAACAATTTTTTTCCTTTCGCACATCAGAAAACCTTAACATTAAAATTAGTGTTATGAAAAAAAAAATACAGAACATTGATTTCACTATTCCAGAATACTAGCCGGATAGTGAAACTAATGTTTCATAAAGTATTTCTTGAAATTGTGTTTTTTACATACTTTTGAAAAAAGTACTTTCGAGAATAATAAATTATGTTTTATGAAGTACTTTTTGAAAGTGTGTTGTTTTACATACTTCCAAAAAATACTTTTCGAAACATTAAATTTACTATTTGAGAAATAACTTGCCAAAATTATGTAAAATAACACACTTCTCGAAAGTGTTTTGCGTAATAGTAAAATTAATGTTTTGGAAGGTACTTTTTGAAAGTGTGTTATTTTATATAATTTTGGAAAATACTTTTCAAAACAATAAATTTACTGTTCTGGAAGAAATTTTCCAGAATTATGTAAAATAACACACTTTCATAAAGTATTTTCCGAAATAGTAAAGTTAAAATTTCAAAAAGTATTTTTCAAAAGTGTGTTGTTTTACATAATTCCAAAAAATACTTTCCAAAAAACTAAATTTACTATTTCAGAAAGTATTTTCTAGAAGTATGCCAATTTTTTTTCACAAGCATAGACAGTAATTTTATTATTATAGAAAGTAATTTATGGAACACTAAAATTATTTGATATTATATTTTCTAGACGTGTAAATAGGGAAAGTTCTCGAAAAAAATGCATATTTGACTTAACACTTTTGATACTATCAAGAAAGTCACTCATGCCTATAATGTTATTGAAAATTAGTTATACATTTTAAGTGCATGTGAAAACTGAAAGAGGGGAGGGAGAAAAAAATAATAAGAAAATTGCAAGAAGAGGGGAGAAGAGAGTAATGTAAAACTGAGAGAATTAAAATTATCTACTAATATAGGTGGGGTGAAAGAAATGTAAGAGGATGCTTGTGAAAATTAAAAAGAAAAAACGAGAAGGGGGTGTGTGAAAAAGAAGAAAAAATGTTGAATTAAATGTTGAAAGTGTAAAATTAAAAAATTAAAAATTGAAAAATTTAAAATATTTTAAGAATTTAATTATTTTTTTAAAAATAGGTAGTATACTTAAAAAATAAAAAGTGTATATATCGTGAACCTAACTCCCCCTTATGTGTAACCTTAAATCCTTAAGGCCCATTACAGCCAAATGAGATAGGTTCCAAATAGTTGGCCCATTACAGCCGAATGAGATAGGTCCAAAATAGTAGGCCCATCAAGATTAGAATCAAACATGTCCGAAACCAGTACTGCCTACTGATCAGTTAACTAACTTTACTGACAATAAAATACAGAGTTTTTTTGTTTTGTTTTTTCTTTACACCTCACATCTTTTGTTATTCTGGAATTACGTTTTACATTTTGAAAACCAATTTTCAGAATATGAAAGAGGAAAAAAAAACAAAACAAAGTGGTGTAAAGAGAAAAAAGGAATACAAAAAAAAAAAGTAATAACCTTAAATATACATAATTAAGTAAATATTTTTTTTGGCCTACATATATGACAAATAATTTTTACCAAAAACAATTTTTTTTAATCAAGTAAAATTTTTAATACAATTATATACTTAAACTTGATTCGAAATTACTAATTAAATTCACAACGAGGGAAAAAAATATGAAAATACCAATATGAGTAACCCACACTTCAGCAAAAAGACCATACGTTCTATTACATCAATTGTGCCAATTCTGGACTTTTCTATAATTAGTATTATAATTTTATGCTTTTGCTGAGCTGTCATGTGTTTGTTTTATTTTTTTCCTTCATGCTTTTTGTTTTGCTATTTTATCTTATTTGATTAGATTATAGATATTCTATAATCTATATGGATTGTTGTATACACAATTTCTATCAAGGAATAATAGAGAACATTTTATTCTCTATAGTCTCTCTTTGTGTCATCCCTAAATATTCAAAACGTTTGAGAAAGGAAGAGCAAAACAAACACTAAAAAATTATTTAATGGAATGAGACGAAGTGCAATTTTAAGTCAAATTTAAAGTTTATTATTATGTTGAAAATTATCTAAAAGATATGAAATAATTTATTTGGTATCTTAATTGAATCGGGCATTTTATACCTAAGGGTGACTAGATCAATAATGGTTATATTGGGATTATAATGTGTAAATTTATATTTAAATAAATGTTAAATTATATTTTTGTTATTTTTGTCTTGTTTGTTATATATATTTTAGTCCTTTTATCTTTTAAAATATTTATTTTGATTCTTTAATTCTTATATTTGAATTAATTTAGTTATTTTAAAATAATGATTGTTTTTAATTTTAAGATTTGATTTTGGATTTTTTTTACTTAAGATTTTAATTCATTTCATTAAATTTATTTATATAAAAAATTATTGAATGTAATTAAAATTCAAATTAAAAAAATGTGTTATAAATATGGTGAAAATTTCATAAAAATAAAAATAAAAATTTTAAAATAATATAATCTTATATTATTTTCTAGTTGCTTAGGAGACATATTTTTTACAAGATGTTTACTATGTATATAAATCTTTTTTAGATTTGAACATCAATTGTATTTTATATTTTTTATATAGTTGAATATAATTTTACAAGTTTTATGTTTTAAATTGATCAAAAATTAATTTAAAATTATGTTGTAAAATTAAAATTATTTATCATTTTAAAATGAAAAAAATTTATTCAAATATAAAAGATAAAATATCCAAATGAACATTTTAACAGATAAAAAAATAAAATAATTTTTTAAAAAATAAGATAAAGAACAAAAATATAATTTAGCCTTTAAATAAATTATATAAATTTAAAATTTATGTATAAATAATATAGCTAAGTCATAAATTAAGAAAATAAAATGTACTAACCTCTTTGATGACATAATTTTAGATATATATTTCTATTACTAAGTTGATATCTTAATCTGTATAATAATTTATATTAATTAAGTCAGTATGAGAACTTAATACTTATTGATATTTAACTCAAATCAATTTCTTTATAATTGTAACGGTTATAAAACTAATGAAACAAACTAGTACCATTAATAAAACATGATACATATTAAACAAACGGAACTAACTTGATTAACAACAATTTAATTCAACATTAATTCATAAGTACATAGAAGAATATGAAATAACCTCATCATCCAACCTTATCCTTATAAGAACAAAAAGTAAAACTAACAATTTTTTTTAATGTATATTTCAAAGAAGTGTATTATTATAAATACATCATCATGTTGAAAGAAAAAAAATCCAATGATTTGTTACTGCGAACAATATTAGTCTTAGACATAGTAAATTAAAAAATATTTGTGATAGGAAAATAATTTATTCAAGATTCAGAATTTTTATTATTTATAACTAATCATAAAAAAAATTATAAATATTACGTCTCGTTAAGCATTTACATATTTGAAATATAACCTGAACTTGATAAAATAATAACAATAATAATAATAATATAACAAGTAAAAAAATTCTTATATAAAACTTGGGGGTCGAAGGGCGTTAAAAGCCCTTGAATATGTCCATAATTAACCATTAATATTAGCAGTAAAAGTCAGTAAGATTATTGTATTATAAGTTTTTATATGCAACTCCTTCCATCAATATCAATGGCAAATTATGATTTTATATTTAGTTAAATTAATTGTCCTTTTCTCTCCCTTCTCTGTTCTGTTAACACACTTAGACCCTACATGAATTAATATAAGTTAATAGTTAATGTTATTTATATCCTATTTAATGGAAACCGTAAATACACTTGATAATAAAAACTATTTTAAAAAGAAATTAGCATTCTCTAAAAGAAATTATTTCCTCGAAACAAGATAGGCAAAACAAACACCACCATTTTTTACCTCTACATACACTTGATAAAACCTTGTTTTATTCTTTCCTGAAACTCATAAGCATCAAAGGACTTAGATTATAACTTTAATCTGTTAATTTAAAAAATATTTTGGTATTTTTTTTTTTAAATTTTGATTAATTTAATTTTTTAAAATATTATTTTTTTAGAAAAAGTCATGAATATTACAACCAATTGATGTTTGAATAAAAAAATTCATAAATATGTTAGGAATTGTGTGAAAAATAATACAATAAACAATCAAAAATAAAAAAAAAAGTTATAATATCAAATTCTTTTCTAATTATTAGTAGAATTTATTATTTTACAAAAAGTTTATTATGTTTAGAAATATTCAAATATGAATTTAAAAAAATTGATATCCTTAGTTAAGATAACTTATCAATTATTAACATTTGCTGATAAAAAAAAGTATAAATTGAAATGATATTTTTTTCAAAATTAATGATTGTATTGTGTTCTGAGAAAATTATTATTGGAAAGCGTTCAGAAAGCATAATTGCATTGCCTTTAATCATAGTGCCGTCTATAATAAAATCTAATCCACATATAAGTGAGAGTTGTTTAATTAAACTAAAATGTCATTTCAATTGAATTTGTCATCTAACCTTTTTATGTTCACACCTGGAGGCCTATATAATTGCATTACTTATTTGAGTTGTTTTCCCATATAAAATCTCATTCACACATGTGCTAGAAAGGTAAGTATTACCTATCCATAATTAAACTAATCCCTCTGTGTACGTCCTCACATATCAATCAATCATTAAGAACATTGAGTGACATGCCAAATTGCCAATTACGTGTAAGTGCTTGTTTCGATACTCATCTTTCATATCAGATTCCATCGTGAACATTGCATTTTTTTTTTCTTTTTCATTGGATAGAATTGTTTTATACATTGCGGAAGGATGCGCCCACATCCCCTACTTTTTACTTTTTTCAAAAAATTGACTTTTGACTATGCAGTTTTCTCAAAATTAAAATATTATTTTCGTGGTGGTAATTACTAGTAGTAATAAAGAAATGTTTCATCAAAAAATTGGATGAACAAACCTTTAAATTTGATGAGATATTGGAAACTGAATTTGAAAGTTTAAACTATGGGCATTAATTAAAGAAAAGGAAAGAATGGCAGAAGGGAGGCGAGGGTATTTATGAGAGTTTCACATGCATTATTTAAATTGCTCCCAATTCACAATAGTTCAAAACGTGGAGCATAGGTTGAAGCATGAGACAGAAGAGAAGGTAACTGGGATCACGCACCATTCAAATTTATTGCTCTGCCTCATATCACGCCCCCATTTAATTTTCACTTCCACCCAATTCGCATTCCTTTCTATGGCTTCGGCAAAACCCAAACCAACGAAAAGACTCGCAGAATTTCTCAAGGAGCAACAAGACCCTTTCATCTTAGACCTTTACCTTTTAGAAAGAGGCTACTCAACAAAAACAAATGGAGACAAAAAGAGAGACCCTCTCTTCCCAATTTCCAAACTTCTCACAACTCTACACAAGAAGCTCCTTTTCCACAACCGTAGCTGCATTCTCATTAGGGACTCTCAAATCATAAACCAACATGTTAATGTTAGTGTCCCTCATGAAACCGAGAGCACTGATCACACTATTCATGACACGGATCGCTTCTCCTTCTCAACAGCTACCAACTCAACCGTCTACCTCTCATGCTCAGACATTGATGAAGATGGAACCTCCTTGTCGCCACAAAAAGACAAACCCTCGTTTTCTCCAAATACTTCCGACATAAGAGTACTACAGAGGTATGCATGAATTCAGCTTTTAAGAACTTCTTTGTTAAAAATATAGTTTTTTATTTAAAAATAAAATATTTCTAAACTTGTAGTCATGTACCCACAAACATATATGTATAAAATTAAGACTGTGCTTGTATAAATAAATTTCTGAATAAACACTTTTAGTGTATTAATTAGTTTTGTTGTTCTTGTGAACAAAGCCAGCAGGGTACGAATAATGAAAAACAGAACCAGATATGTTTAGAAGGTTGCCCTGTTCCAGAGTCCGGAAATAGTAAGTTTGGTTGGTTGTTACAAACGTGTGTTTTAAGTTACTTTATTATTAACGTTTTTTTAATAATGTACCAGTTTGTGTGACGCAGCGGACATTGAATCAGGATGTTTCGAGAATGGAAGAGGGAATGAAAATGAGCAATTGTTGTGTTATTGTACCGAAGAAAATCACGGAGGATTCAGTGTTATCGGTGGCTCTGTGGAGTTCGTTTATTCAGTCAGCGAGGAGAGAAAAATGTAGAAAGGAACTGCGAGAGATTCTGGGGGCAAATCCAAATGTTTGCCACGTGTTGAAATCTAGAACTTTATTGCACAAGGCAAAGCAGCTACTATTTGATTGTGTGAGAGAAATTAGTGTAAATGTTTCGAGAAAAGGTTGTAGAGAAGAGCAATGTTTGAAAGAATTAAATTTAAGAGGACGTGAAGAGGTGGGGAAGAGGAGAAGGAAATTGGGAAAAGTGGGTGTGAATGAGACAAATATAAGCAACTTAAGTTTGGATTCTATGGTCGAATGGAGTGAGTTGAAGCCACAAGTGAGACATATTTGCGTTGAGGTAGCCGATGCGGTTTTGGAAGGCGTGACCAACGAAATTGTGGCAGAGATGATTCAAGTTGTGTCACCAACCTTGTAATCACTTTAATTTCGATTCTAATGAATCCTCCCCATTTTTCATTTTCTGTTAGATGCAATGGCGATGCCATTCTTTAATCTTCATGCCGAAAACCAAATTTAACTCATCTAACAAACATTTTCACCATAGCGTTGGTAGAGTTCTACAAAAAAAGATATGCATGTGAAAAATAAAGATAAAAGATTACATGGAAGGGAAAGTTGCAAGTGCGGCTCCAACCACATGGAATGGGTATTAAAATTTGATTGTGGGGACAAAATGATGATTATCACTCCACCCACTATGACTGCTGTCATTGAGCCATTCTTCTTTCCATTTAAAGATGCGATTTTGCTTCCTTGTGGGCTCAATGCCGCACTTAAAAAAGGAGGTAAGCTAAGCTAAGGCTACGACTACATGTTGTACTTTTATAGCTACATGATTGAGATGACTCACTATGTTTAACTAACCGCATACATTCAAGAGCAGTAGATGAAGGATTTTGCCTTTTAGTTAACTCTACTATATTTTGCTTTCAAATATAATTGCACCATGTAATAATTTCAAATAAATATTCCAAGTACTACTTGTGCATTTTCTAGAAAGCCATTACTTCTCTTAAAAAAAACAGTAGTTACTAATAAATAAATAAATATATATATATATATATATATATATATATATA